AAGCAACCCTTAAACTGCCAAGTATACGTAAAATACCATTCCGTTTGAAAAATTCGTAATTTTTAAGAAAATTCGTTCTTACCTACGTATCAGTATTCGATAGCGGGAGTTGTAAATTATGTTGTGAGTCAAATATTTTTATTTCCTTGATCGATTGTATTAAAAAAAAACTAAAAGCAACCCTGAAATTGACAAGTATAAGTAAAATTCCACACCGTTTCAAGAATTCGTATCTTTCAAGAAAATTCGTTCATATTTACGTAGCATTATTCGATTGCGGGGTTGTAAACCTTGTTGTGAGTCAAATATTTCTATGTCTTTGATCGATTATATTAAAAGGATATACAAGCAACCCTTAAATTGCCAAGTATACGTAAAATACCATTCCGTTTGAAAAATTCGTAATTTTTAAGGAAGTTCGATCTTACTTACGTAGCAGTATTCGATTGCGGGGGTTGTAAATTATGTTGTGAGTCAAATATTTTTATTCCCTTGATCGATTATATTAAAAAAAAACTACAAGCAACCCTGAAATAGACAGGTATAAGTAAAATTCCACCCTGTTTCAAAAATTCGTATTTTTTAAGAAAATTCGCTCTTATTTATGTAGCATTATTCGATTGCGGGGGTTGTAAACCTTGTTGTGAGTGAAATATTTTTGTCTTTGATCGATTATATTAAAAGGATATACAAACAACCCTTAAATTGCCAAGTATACGTAAAATACCATTCCGTTTAAAAAATTCGTAATTTTTAAAATATTCGTACTTACTTACCTTACGTACGTAGCAGTATTCGATTGCGGGGGTTGTAAATTATGTTGTGGGTTAAATATTTTTATTTCCTTGATCGATTATATTAAAAAAAACTACAAGCAACCCTGAAATTGACAGGAATAAGTAAAATTCCACCCTGTTTCAAGAATTCGTGTCTTTTAATAAAATTCGCTCTTATTTACGTAGCATTATTCGATTGCGGGGGTTGTAAACCTTGTTGCGAGTCAAATATTTTTATTTCCTTGATCGATTATATTAAAAAAAACTACAAGCAACCCTGAAATTGACAGGTATAAGTAAAATTCCACCCTGTTTCAAGAATTCGTGTCTTTTAATAAAATTCGCTCTTATTTACGTAGCATTATTCGATTGCGGGGGTTGTAAACCTTGTTGCGAGTCAAATATTTTTATTTCCTTGATCGATTATATTAAAAAAAACTACAAGCAACCCTGAAATTGACAGGTATAAGTAAAATTCCACCCTGTTTCAAGAATTCGTGTCTTTTAATAAAATTCGCTCTTATTTACGTAGCATTATTCGATTGCGGGGGTTGTAAACCTTGTTGCGAGTCAAATATTTTTATTTCCTTGATCGATTATATTAAAAAAAACTACAAGCAACCCTGAAATTGACAGGTATAAGTAAAATTCCACCCTGTTTCAAAAATTCGTATTTTTTAAGAAAATTCGCTCTTATTTACGTAGCATTATTCGATTGCGGGGGTTGTAAACCTTGTTGTGAGTCAAATATTTCTGTCTTTGATCGATCATATCAATAGGATATACAAGCAACCCTTAAATTGCCAAGTATAAGATGTGCCTGGAAAGTTGTACCTAACAATAATTGACTTTATTGTTTAAAAAGCGTCTCAAAAAAATTCTAAAGTACTGTTTATTAGGACCACAAACTTAGAAATACAAAGGTATTGTGAATACATTCAAAATAGTCAAATTGTTTATTTCTTGCGACCACCACGTTCCTTAATCTGCAACTGTATAATTGCTCCAGTGGTAATGTTGTAATATGCGAGGGTGTTTGAATCTTTGAAAAACATCCCCTGTAAAAAAGCCATATAACACCCGAACAGACAATATAGACATCTACTTACGTCATAAAATAATTTCTGCTTAGCCGGCGGCATGGCGGTATCCTCTTGAACTTTGGCTTTCAAATTCCCGACAGTTTCGGAAAGTGGCATAATGAAAGTGAGCAGTTGTCCTGCCAATTTCCATTCCGTCTTTTCCGGTTGCAAAGGTATGGTAACTTTAATTGATACCGGATTCTGTGAACAAAATCGATTAGACACCCTTCACGCTAAAGGGTACGTACCGTGTTTCTTGCCAAAAATACTTCTTCAGGAATGAGAGAATCTTCGTTACGCATTTTCTTGTTGGAGGGTTCGTCCTCCATGCTGGCCTCCAGGGGGTGTTTAACATTTACGGCACCCACAGGTGTCATGTGAGACATTGTGGTGACGTATCCGGCCATTGGAGGTGCTGCCACTGTAATTAATTTTTGTATTTGTAGTAATTACGTAACGGTGGATACATACTCATCAAGGGTGGTGGCGCACGAATGGACGTTGGCATCATCATTATAGGTGACTGAGCTAATATTGAACCTTGAGTCGAAATTGTCAGGCCCATTTGGGGTGGTTGATTTGACGGTGCTTTAACAGGCTGTTGACACCATACGTTAGAGAAATTTTTATTAGTGTTATACTAACCGTTGGATTTGGATTAGCTTGTGGTTTTGCAGAAATAATAGCAGCGGCTTTGGCGGCTGCTGATGCTTTCGTGAGGACATTCTTCGGACCAATTTTTTCTTTTTCTTCATCTGGTAGTAACCCTTTGACCTTGTGGATTTGATGAATTTGTTCCTCAAGGGTAATATTTGCTCTGGCAGCTCGAGTGGCGGCTTCCACGCTTGAAGTGTGTCCATCCCAAGTCACCTTTTCATCTTTTCGGACATCTTCTTCACCAATTTTTTTACCGATTGCAGTTTCTTCATCACCCACACCAAAAATATCGGTACGCCGTTCCGCCAATTGTTTAAGACTCGCGTCGATAGCGCTACCTAAGACAGACAGTGCGAAATCGCTGCGCAAAGTGAACGGAATTCTTACCAGCAGCGTATACAGTGTCTTGGCTCATTTTATCTGTGACATGTTTGTCTCGTTGCTCCACCCAACGTGGATCTAACAAACCGATCCTCATGTGTTCTTGTACTTTACTCGCAGGGATCTTTTCGCCGGTGATTGGCGAAATAAGATAGTCATCACCGCCGACTGGACGAACTGGTTTATGCGCTGAAAACATAAATGTGCAGAAAACGCAAAGAAACACCACAAAAGCGCTAATACCTTGCTTCGGATCATACTTCTTAACTATCACCTTATCAGGAATCGGTGGTAAAGGCGGTTGCATAGACGTACCATGCCTTGGCTCACCATCCTCATCCGAACTCTCCTCCTCCATATCTTGCACTCTATTATCATCCTTGCGATGTCCGGTACGATCCACCATGTGACTAAGACCCTCGTCATTCCTCGTTGTCGCATCCTCCTCATCACTCTCCAACTGCATTTCAATATCCTCCCCTTCCTCGATACGTTCCTGAATCAACAGCCTGGCACCCACCTCTTCGGGAGTAGTCGGCGGCGGGAAATTACCAATCTCAAACTGCTGATAGTCGACAGTTTCGACAACGACAAAATCGTGCCAATCGATTTGCGCGTAGGCGACCCTTTCCCTTTCCAAAATCTCCTCCTCTCTGGCTCTTTGCGCCTCTTGATACTTGTGCCATTCCGCACGGTACTTGCTATTTTCCATCACACCCTGCGCGCTCTTGCAGTCGTCCCTTAAACGTTGCTGCATCCCTTTGGGCGGAATTAAAACCTTCGTGTACTGCTCGAGTAGCTTGGTGAAATACTGAAAAAGGGAGTGTTGCGGGCGTAGAAAGTCAAATTGGAAGTTACGCTGTTCGCGATTCATTAACTGTGTCAGAAACTGGCGACCGTTACGGGCTACGAACTGTGCTGTAAGCTTTACAATGTCCCTAAAATATAAATGTGTTACACATTCCACTAAACTACCCCCATAGTGTAAATTGTAAAGAAAAGAACAGAGAGACGACCTCAGATTTCATAGTTCTGGACCCGGCATATGAAAAGAGGGGCGCTGCGGTTGTGGGTTCTAACAGTGACCAATCACCATAAAGCTGACTGTTGTTGAAAGATACACGGCAACAAATCTCGGAAACAACAACGTTGGTTATTTGAGGGTAACCATACCTATCTAGTAAACGCATTTGTACTATAAAATGGGTATTAGCTATCCTGAATGCTCACAGTTCAAAAAATTAAATGACTTTGGGATCTTTCTGGGGTTGTTACATTTGTATGACAGGTTCTAGCGTTCATTTCATATAAATTGAGACTTTAACACTAGGAGTTGACTGCTTAGTAGGTACTCTTGATGCACAGTAATTTTTTGAAAATTTCAGTTCGTCTGGTTGTGTAAACGGCGCCACGCAGGCATTATTTTGGTTTCAGCATCTTCAATATAAGGTTGGACCACTCTGTATATGAAAAGTCTCAATCTTTAAAGTAACTCTGGTTGGTTTTTTACGAATAAGCACAAAGTGTGATTGTTACTTTTGAATTTATTTTTCAGTATTTGTTTTTACTTTTAGAAATTTCAGTTTAATTTTATCGTTTTTGTAAATTGTTCAATGTAGATAAGGTTGTATCTGGTCGCTGCGATAAGAAGTTTAATTGTTAGGAGTATATCAGAGATGTTAAAAAAACGAGACTATTGTTATGAATAATCTCTACAACACTAGTATGTATGTATACAGTACGTATGTATAAAAATTCGTTAAGTCCCTTGTGAACAAGAGGCAAAGAGTGCACTATTTCAAAATTGTTTTTTCGATTTTAATAGCCCTTATGGACATTTCATGCCTTAAAGAGAATACAAACATGAAATAATTTTTAATTTCTGATCGAATGACACCCATACCAAGTCTGTAAGTGGTGTAGTTCCAGAGCCTTTGTGACTCAGACAGACAGACAAATTAAGAGCGTAAAAGTGCACTTTTTATTTTTTTTAAAGTGAAAGTGCACTAAAAATTGTTGTACTGTACTTACCTGTTGTTTTACCTCCTATGAAACAAAAAACAGTACGAATCACCCCAAGAGAGGGATAATTAATAACTAAAGAAACTAGAAAAAGCAAATGAGAGACATTCTCATCAATTACATTAATTTGTACATGTCAGTTATACTCAAATATTGAGGCTATCCTCAGATATTCTCGAATATCTGCAGATATCCACAGGATCTCGTTGGATATCCATGGACATCTTTGGATATCTACTCTGATTACAGAATACCGTTGGCACAATTCTTGAATTTGCAAAATACGCATGGAAGTTGTCTCACTATTCTATTCATTACACTCTGCAGTTACTTACAAGTCAAGGGCTGAAATAGAAGGGGGATCAGCTATAAATTCAAAATCCGTAGGTGGTTCCTTTGGTATAAACGGCTGTTCCACGGACTTAAGGATCTCCTGCTGCTTTTGTTGCGCAGAAGCCGACACTGTAAGCTTTGCTATAGCCCCTGGCAACGCAGCCGGAGTATCTTGAGCTGCAAATTCATCAGATCACAAAACGTCGAATAGAAATATGTGAAAATTTGATCATGTTCGTATCAGTTTTTCGCTCTCGTATTATTTTAGTCACAACACTCAAGACCGTACGAACAGTCGAATATTAATATATGGCTAGGTGTCATCCCGATTTGAGAATGAGAACGATAAAATCAAAGGCACTTACTTTTTCCTTCACGGAAATCGTTAACTTTGTGCTGATAATACGCGTGATACGGGTCGCCGGTGTTGAGAAAGTTAAACTTTGGGTTCCCCAACTCATTTTGTCTGATACGAGCTTCGAATTCGGGGCCATTTCTAGCAACGAAACTCGCTGTCTTATCGACGATGTCTATAAAGTGTATATCAGGAAAAATATTTCTAAATCTGTATTTGAGTACTTTGCTCTGTGAAACAATACCACAAAGGGGGGCTAAAGGATACTTCGAACTTCTGGTGGTGGATATATGATCCCGACAATGGGATTGATGGGTGCAGAGCTACTTTCCTGAGGAGTTTCTGTAGTTTCCACTGTTGTTGTTGCAGCTGGTATACCATTAGGAATTACCTCCAATACCGGCATTTTGATTACTGGGTTTTAAATCTGTAATACTTAGAAATTATTAAAGTGTATTCAATTGCTGCTAATTATTTTTAATTATAAAGCTTCGTGTTTTCATTTGACAAATGACATATGACAAATACAAAAATGGCGATGCCCTGAAGTTAGCGACATAAGTACAGGGTGATTCATTAGAAATGAAAATTTGTTGTTAATTGGTGTGCCATTTGCGGTATATTACTTTTTCCATTTTGAACAATTTGCACTAAAATATGTAAGAAACGTGACTGTTTCTAGTGTCAATTTATACTATGTGGCAAAACAGAAGCGGTCTTTGTAGTATTATCGATGAATTGCTCCATTATTAGAATTATAAGGATGCATTAAATAAAACGTTGAATGTTGCTGTATACTTATAATTGTTTTTACGTTTTTCTTTAGGTAGATTATAAATAAGTAAACAATTTACTGAATGCATGACGATACAACTTCCAATTTTTTTTGATTTGCGGGAAATTCAAACGATCATCACTTCTAAAGAATCACCTAGTATAAAAAGCAGTGACCTTAAAAAGTATTAATAACTGGTAATAATTAAAAATATTCAAACTGCAATGATTGATATGTGCCAGTCTTCGCCTAGACACTGGACTGGGATGAAAAATTAAAGATAAAATTTCTTCTAGATCTTTTTATTTCCTGTTGGTACTGCAAGGCTAATTTTTTGGCTACTAGGAACTTTGTAGATCTGAATTCTTCTGTTGCTTAATTAATTCGAGTTCCTAGTTTTCTAAGGAAAGTCAGGATGTCCGTTCGGACAGCTTCAATAAACTCAGCGATAACTGGCTAGGGGTTGGAACTCATATATATGAAATATATAGGTTTCGGTTCTGTACTACTTATAGGTTGACTGATTTTTAAGGGTTCCGGTATCCAGTTTGTTTTTCGGTTTTGAATGGTACTAACATAATAACAGAATAAATTATTATTAATTATAGGAACAAAATATTGAAGTACATTGTCCTCTTGCATAAACATTATTTCAAAGATTTAATTGAAACTAGCTTACGTGTTCGTTTCAACTCTGTAACCTCACACATTCTTCAACCTTCTTACTGTTTTTGAGTCATTTTCGGTATTAGTAACTGTAAAATATTTTATATTTAGTTAGTTAAGTTAGTAAAAATTAGGGTGGAAGTTCTGAATAAATGTGAGAATTATGATTTTTGGCTTTTGAAATATAAATTTGTACTTTAACATTTTAGCAATCGAATACTGCTAACAGGAAAGGTCGATTTTTCTTAAAAATTAGGAATTTCTAAAAGGGGACGGGATTTTACTTATAATTGGCAATTGGAGGGTAGTTTTGTAGATCCTCTAAATACAGTAGATCAAGGAAATAAAAATATTGTCCCACAACAAAATTTATAACTCCCGAATCGAATAATGCTACGTAAGTAAGAGCGAATTTTCTTAAAAGTTGCGAATCTATGAACCTGGAAGGGATTTTACTTATACTTAGCAATTTAAAGGTTGCTTTTGGATTCTGTTAATATACTCGATGAAGAGAATCAAAATATTTGACCAACAACAAAATATACAACCCCCGTAAAGGTACACTGTTTGGCAGACAAGATCGAATTTTTTAAAAATTAGGAATCTCTAAAACGGGATGGAATTAAACTTATACTTACTATAAGGGTTGCTTGCAGATTCATTTAATATAATCGATCAAAGAAAAAAAAATATTTGACCCACAACAGAATTTACAACCCCCGCCATCGAATACTGCTACGTAAGAAAGAACGAATTTTCTTAAAAATTACGAATTTTTCGAACGGAATGGTATTTTACTTATAGTTGGCAATATAAGGGTTGCTTGTAGATTGTTTTACTATAATCGATCAAGGAAATAAAAAAAATTGACTCACTACTGAATTTACAACCCCGGCCATCGAATACTGATTCGTAAGTAAGAAAGAATTTTCTTAAAAAATACAAAATTTTGAAACGGGGTGGGATTTTACTTATACTTGGCAATATAAGGGTTGCTTGTAGATTCTTTTACTATAATCGATCAAGGAAATAAAAAAATTTGACCCACAACTGAATTTACAACCCCCGCCATCGAATACTGATACGTAAGTAATAAAGAATTTTCTTAAAAAATACAAAATTTTGAAACGGGGTGGGATTTTACTTATACTTGGCAATTTAAGGGTTGCTTGTACATTCTTTTAATATAATCGATCAATGAAATAAAGATAATTGACCCACAACCAAATTTACAACCCCCGCCAACCGCCATCGAATATTGCTATGTAAGTAAGAACGAATTTTTTTAAATTACGAATTTTTCAAACGCAATGGGATTCTACCTATACTTGGCAATTTAAGGGTTGTCTGTAAATTGTTTAAATATAATCGATTAAGGGAATAAAAATATTTGACCCACAACAAAAGGTACAACCCCCGCCATCGAATACTGATACGCAGAGTTGGACTGGGTCAAGCATAGAGTGACCCAGTGACCCGGTGACCCAGTTAGTTTAACTGACCCAGTGACCCGGTGACCCGGTGACCCAGTTTGACCCGGTGAACCCAGTTTGACCCGGTGACCCAGCTTGACCCGGTGACCCAGTTGACCCGGTGACCCAGCTTGACCCGGTGAGCCCAGCTGACCCGGTGCAGCTTGACCCAGTTTGACCCGGTGACCCAGCTTGACCCAGTGACCCAGCTTGACCCGGTGACCCAGCTTGACCCAGTTTGACCCGGTGACCCAGCTTGACCCAGTGACCCATCTTGACCCAGCTTCACTCAGTGACCCGTCCTGACCCGGTAGCCCAATAATTAAATTATTGTTAGGTATCATCCAAAACAATTTCAAGTAACTTTTAATTAAAAAAAAACTTCCTCAATAATATTCGGCAACAAGCACGTAGCCCAATTTCATTCAAGAGAACTAATACCTAAAAAAATCAAATGCATTTGTTTATAGTTTGTAGTCAAGGTAGTCTAAGTATTTAGAGAAAAGATTTATTTGGATTAAGCTACTAGTAGAAAAAAATTAAATGTGAATGAATACCTGTAAGCAAACTGGTAAGCCCTAAAGCAAAGAAATAACATTATTCTAATACAATTCGGGACATGGAAAGTTTTTTACGGCAGTATTAAAGCAAACATCACAGAAATGGAAGTTGTCAAGCAATCGAGTATTATTTTCAACAAACCAGCATTTCATTTATTGCATAATCTGTACACTTGAACCGAGGGCACTGACTTAACTGCGTTATTCAATCAAACTAGGTGACTGGGTCGAATTGGGTCCCCGGGTTAAATTGCGTCGCTGGGTCAAACTGGGTCACTGGGTCACTGGGTCAAACTGGGTCACTGGGTCAAGTTGGGTCACTGGGTCAAACTGGGTCAACTGGGTCAAACTGGGTCACTGGTCAAACTGGGTCAAGTTGCGTCACTGGGTCAACTGGGTCACTGGTCTAACTGAAAAGAGTATGACGTGACCCAGCGACCCAGTGAACCCAAGTTTAATTTAGTGACCCAGGTGAACCAGTTGACCCAGTGACCCAGTGACCCAGTCCAACTCTGCTGATACGTAAGCAAGAATATTCTTAAAAATACGACATTTTGAAACGGGGTGGGATTTTACTTATAGTTGGCAATATAAGGGTTGCTTGTAGATTCTTTTAATATAATCGATCAATGAAATAAAAATATTTGACCCATAACCGAATTTACAACCCCCGCAATCGAATACTGACACGTAAGTAAGAAAGAATTTTCTTAAAAAATACGAAATTTTGAAACGGGGTGGGATTTTACTTATACTTGGCAGTATAAGGGTTGATTGTAGATTCTTTTAATATAATCGATCAATGAAATAAAGATATTTGACCCACAACAGAATTTACAACCCTCGCCATCGAATACTGTTACATAATTGTAAGAACGAATTTTCTTAAATAATACCCCTTTTTGAATCGGGATGGAATTTTACTTATACGTGGCAATTGAAGGGTTGCTTGGAGATTCTTTTAATATAATCGATCAATGAAATAAAGATATTTGGACCCACAACAGGATTTACAACCCCCGCAATCGAATACTGATACATAGGTAAGAATGAATTTTCTTAAAAATTACGAAATTTTGAAACGGGGTGAGATTTTACTTATACTTGGCAAAATAAGGGTTGATTGTAGATTCTTTTAATATAATCGATCAATGAAATAAAGATATTTGACCCACAACAGAATTTACAACACCCGCAATCGAATACTGAGACGTAATTAAAAGACAATTGAAGTAAAAATTAGGAATTTTTTAAACGGGATGGGATTTTACTCATACTTGACAATATAAGGGTTGCTTGTAGATTCTTTTAATATAATCGATCAATGAAATAAAAATATTTGATCCATAACCGAATTTACAACCCCCGCAATCGAATACTGACACGTAAGTAAGAAAGAATTTTCTTAAAAAATACGAAATTTTTAAACGGGATGGGATTTTACTTATACTTGGCAATATAAGGGTTGCTTGTAGATTCTTTTACTATAATCGATCAATGAAATAAAGAGAATTGACCCACAACCAAATTTACAACCCCCGCCATCGAATATTGCTACGTAAGTAAGAACGAATTTTTTTAACTTACGAATTTTTCAAACGCAATGGAATTCCACCTATACTTGGCAATTTAAGGGTTGCCTGTAGATTGTTTTAATATACTCGATTAAGGGAATAAAAATATTTGACCCACAACAGAATTTACAACCCCCTCAATCGAATAATGGTAGGTAGAAACTGTATGGGCACACAGTTAGTGGACTTGATTTTTTTTCAGGACTGGCAGTGAATCTACCCGTCATCGGATCCGTACACAAAAAAAGTGAGCAATACTATCAGAATTTATTTAGATACCTAGGGGGTTTTATTCACACGAATGACATTTTGATGTTATTATTTATCGTTATTTTTGAAATTTATTTGCCAAACATGTTCTCAACACCACAAAATATAACCCAAGTAAGTTCTATAAACAATTCTGCAAGTGAACTGATATTAACAAATATCACGCTCGCTGATAATTCAATTGGTACCTAATTTTGCAGGTATTTAATCACAATTTCTGAATAGTCTGACAGGACGTTATTTGGTTATGTTGTATTATTTTGTAATGTGATCAGTATGAGGTATTTTAATAGTTTTGTTCTTATTGTGTCGTTTCCTGTAATACTTGCAGTTGAACACTTGGAAGGCACGATAGGTGAGCTCCTCCATATATTGTCTTAATCGCTGACAACATTATAATCACATAAAGAAGTATCCACCCAAAAATAAGAAATTTTTAGTAATATCGTTGGTTGATAAATGATTAATCAACGGTAATATTACCATTGTATTTAATAAATACAATTGTAGTATTCAACGGCACCAATTGTCTAAATCAGCATTTGAAGTGGGTTTTCGTAGTAATATTGGACAAAACATAATATCGCGCCTTTATATTTTATAGGATCACTGATTTTTCTACAAAGCGCATTTCCTTTTCCCCGTTTTACCATTACCAAAATGAAGAACACTTAAAGGTGATGATCTGTGTGGGTTCGAAATTACTTCTCTTTCTCTACATAAAGTCTAAATACGGTTTAGCTCTAAAATAATTAGGGGAGCCAATATTTGAACAAAACATTGTAAATCCTATGCTGCGTCACGCAATAGTCACCTCCCTGTATAATTTTAGATTCAAATTCAAGTGTATCTGAACCTCAGTCGGTGCTGTACGCGAAGAACATTATCGATCATTGGGAGAGACTAGAAAGAGCCTTGGATTGGTCCAATATTCATGTTCAAGTGGGTTCTGCTTCACATGGTCAACTCTTGACCTCACAACCGCAAGACGAAGCTTTATTACAAGAGAAGAATGCGCTTATCGCTGCGTATGCCTTGAGACACTTGAAAGATCAACTTCGCATCACGTTTGGGGTTGTTAAAAAGGAAAACTTGGAATAACATTTGATTGCAGGGGTCGGACACCACAGGGAACACCGTTCAGTTGGTCATGCTCAAAAAAAGAGTGCTTACATAGCAAATATCGACCGATAGATGGTTCTTGCAGTGATTCCACGGACGGGTTTCATGGAGGTGCATTTAGTAGCTACTCCAGGTTGCTTGAGGCCTATTATGGAGACGGTCTGCAAGAAATCCGTCGATCAGTTCACCGGGCGTTTCTTTTACCCTCAGCGCGCTTAGTCAGTACTACAATAAGTCAGAATGAGTCCACTGTATACGATAATTTAACAACAGCGGTGGCGTATTGGGGTCGATTCATTGAGCACGATATGACTTTTACTGCTTCGAGCGTTATGGGTAAGTGTGAATGTTTACGCCAATTGTACCCTTTTAGTTACTTAGTTCACTCCAAGAAGACCATCGAATGCTGCGATAACGATGGAAGCAATCTCTCACCGAGGCACGTCCATCCTCTCTGTGCCCCAATACGTGTCCCATTTGATGACTACATTTATTCAAAGCTATTTGTCAGGTGCATCCCTTATGTTAGATCAATTGGTGCTATCCGCATGAACTGTACTTTGGGATCGCTTGAGCAGGTACTCCGTTGGGAATATTCCATTATTCCTCCATCGATTTTCTAGCTAAACCAAGCTAGTCACTTTCTGGATGGATCTCAATTGTACGGCGTGGAGAAAACCAAACTAAACCTACGAAGGCAATTTCGCAATGGTTTATTAAAGTATAGCGGCACGTCGAAAAGCATGTTTTTGCCAAGGTCTACAAATCCAATAATTGACTGCCAATACCTTACTCAAAATGGTACCTGCTACATTTCTGGTTGGTTATTGTAAGTGTACCAAATGTATTTTACTGTAGTCATAGGCGACTCACGTGTAAATGAGCTGCCACTCCTTACACTGTTGCATACGTTGTGGCTTCGGGAACACAATCGAATTGCAGCAGCTTTACATGGGATTAACAATCACTGGAATGATGAAGAACTGTTTCAAGAAACCAGACGGATAGTGATTGCACTTTTGCAACACATCACATACAACGAGTGGCTGCCAGTTATATTGAGTAAGAAATTTGGAGCAAGGGGATTACTACAACTAACCGTTGCAGATCAAAGCCAAATGGATAAAGTAAACTCGCCACCATCTCAATCAGAACTGGATCCCAGAACGAGCAATAGCTTTGCAACAGCTGCCATCAAATTTGTCAACTCCTTAATCGACGATAGTGTCAGGTACGGTATTACATCACAATATTAAATATTTTTTTTAGAACTTATAGCCGCAATCGTACTCTCACAAAGACATACGATTTGAAAGACTACTTCTACAAGCCATGCATCTTGGAGGAAAACTTTGATGGATTCATTCGCGGCATGGCTACACAAAATTGCCCAAAATTGGATTTAAATTACGCAGATAGTGTAAATTGTTTATACAATTTTGCTTCAGTCACCCTGGCTTATTGTAGATAAGAAACCACTTATACCAAACTGACTCCCATGGCTTTGATATCGTCAGCTTAGACATACAGCGAGGACGTGATCACGGTCTACCTACCTACGCATCTTTTCGTTCAATAATTGGCTATCCAAATGTTACCCAGTTTTCCACTTTGGAAGACGTCACCCCTATGGAAGTAAGACTTTTCGCCAGAAAAAATTTAAAACGTTTTCTTGTAGCACGTAACTCTCCTGAGAAAAGTTTATCAAAGTCCCTGGGATATCGACTTGATAATCGGGGGAATGTCCGAAAGGCCGTTGCCAAATTCATTGTTAGGGCCGACGTTCTCCTACATCATTGGGGAGCAAATGAAGCGCACTAAGAATGGTGATAGGTACTTTTACACGAATAAGAAGCAACCGAATCCGTTTACGGATGCCCAGTTGAAGGAAATCCAGAAAGTAACGCTTGCAAGGATATTCTGCGACAATGGTGATGATATTGTGTATATGCAACCTAAAGTGTTCATGCAAATTTGTGATAGGTAGATTTTGAAACGCATTTTCTACACTTATTTAGTTTGGTTGTTGTAGTAATCCATTAGTATCCTGCACGGGTAATGTAATACCCCATTTAAATCTAAAAGTATGGAAGAAGAAATAGCTTGCATTAAACAGTGATGAGATAATGAATTATACAGATATAGTGAACTTTTTCCTATCAGTCGCACGGTTGGCACATTTAAAATAAAAGTACCAAGGTAGCATTCAACTACAATGCAGTGGTTAGAAGCAATACGCAATCTTTTTTTAAAATATTCTTAAAATCCTCGAAAACAAAGGTCTCAAAAAATCGGTTAGGCTTGTCTTTAGAAAATTCCCCTAAAAAAATAGCTATTTGTGTATTAAGAGCGCAAATAGTATATTATATACCGCGGGACTGAAGTAGTACTTTTAATCCCGAAGGTAAAGTTTATGGCCCGACCGAAGGGAGGGCCATAATTTACCTGAGGGATTAAGACCACTACTTCAGTCGCAAGGTATATACGATATTTTTCGTACTTCCGAAACTGAAACACTTAATATGTATGGAGTTAGAGAAAGCGTTCTTTCAAAAAATCGCTGCTTAACAGGTTACCATGGGAACGTTGCGTTGATACGACAAACCCTATGCTATGGTAACAAAAATAATTTGGAAACTGTCATTGCTTTGGTCATAATTTTGGTGGTGGGTGACAAAGGTGTATTTGATATTAATCAAAAGCAGCCAAAATAGGTAAAGAATTGATACCACCGAAATCCAAAAAACTATATGAGCAGCAGTACGATGCGTTTAAAAAGTAGTGCAGCATACAAAATGTGGAACAACCTACTGAAATTGCCTTGTTAGTAATTTGATCCTTCCGGGATTTTCGTCCAAATTTAATCCCGGCGGGACAAAAAGTGACACTTCAGTACTTGTCATAAAGGAGTGAAGTTGTCACTTTAGTCTCGGAAGTACGAAAATGATATATTGTCGATTGAAAGAGACCGTTGCCGCACGACGAAGGAGCGCGGCAATCTCTTGAAATCGACAATCAATTTGCGCTCGAGTTACACACAAGATTTTTTCTACAATTGGGCAGTTCACATTTCCAAAATTTCCAAAATTTTACATCTTTCACTCAAATTAAAGATGTGCATCTTAGATCATCTTAGATGTCATTTACTCGTTGTCATTGGATACTCTGAGCAATGCATATTTGATTTATTGTTAATAATTGGGAGAGCGAGCGTTTTTTTAGTGACATTCCTCGAAAAAGGTTACGTTTGCGTTGTCAAATACGAGCGCAAATGCTTACTTTGGATACCGATTGTAGAAAAATCAACTTTGCGACATCTTCAGGAAACTTTTTTGGAATTATCACATAAATTCTTCATAGAACTTATTAAAACACACCCCTACAGATAGGCAAAACACCTTCCAATGAAAGTAAATTCAAAGCACCGTTCTACGCAGTCGTTGAAACCGGCTTGGGGAGAATTATTACAGGAAGTCAGAGGATGATGTCGTTGAGACCACTGGTTGTTCAGTTCAACCTTGTTTAAAGACTGGTTCCCGAACAAAGTAAAGCCCATTTTGATGTTCTTTAGGTACATGCAATGTATCATTTTATGAGTTTTTTTTTTTAATTTGAACCGTAGGTGTGTTTTATACTCAAGTGATTTATCTTGTTTTCCATTTGAGGTTACGATCTCATTTATATCTATCTCGTTCTGATAAATTTGTTTAACTACATTTAACTCGATTACCTCGTTGTACGATTTTAGTATTTCTGTTTGTACTTTGTTGCCGTAGTTGATTTATTTCTTGCATTTTTGTGTGTTGTGCCACGTTTTTTCTTGCTGGTTCTTTTTTTCCTTTGGATATACTCCGCGGAATCAAGCTTTATGCGTAATAAATTTCATTTTTCTTATTCCCTTCGCACGCACAAAATTCTGTTTTTTATTCAGTTCCTTTCGCGATTGTGTCTCACATTCTAACACACAAAAGATTGTCATAGTAAAAGACAACGTAGAAGTCCCATTCGTACCACCCAGTCCTAGTCGAAGACTACGGAGAGTTGAAAGTGGAGCGAAACGTTCCCCTTGTATACTTAGGGTTTTAACAACCCACAAAAGCACTAACTAATCGTCTTTAAACCCTTTACCGGCTGCCCTTTAAGCTGTGCGGACTATTCACGCCCGGATAATTCGTTTCCGGACAATTCCCGCCAGCATATTTGGCTCCCAGAACAATTCGCTCACAGACCAATTCGATAACTGAAAATGTTCCCCTAGAATAATTCGGTCCCGTGGATTTTTTTAACAGTGTTAATTGGTTCTTCTAATAATTTTTAAAGCCTATTGTCAAACTGGTGGCTGGTGTTGAAAGTTTTAAAGATTATTGACAGATTATTGCATCAATTTTCGGGAATTCCTTGTATTTTTGTATTTTATCTGGTTGTCTGACAGGAATCTTCTTCGCCGGTTACAAGCGCTCATAGATGGTGCTAAATAACCAGCAAGCAGACAACCTATTTTCTTTATGTGTGTACTGTAATATTGGTACAATCAAGACTATAGCTGACCACCATCAGAAGCTAGATAGATACGATCCTGTTTTGAATCACAAAGTGGTATCAACATGTATTTTTTCCGGAAGCGATGTGTCCTGGGAGCGCATTTTCCGGAAGCGCATTGTTTTGAGGATGAATTGTCCTAGTACCCAATTGTCTTAAATCAGTCAACCTGTTGATTCCTATTACACAACGAAGTTCCCCTTTTGCATAAATACGCCACGTTATATTAGTTTTACTTGTCATGGTAGCTCGAAAAGAATTTAAAAGCACACACGACAATAATTCCGTCGAATTGGTGGCTTAGTCTTCTCTTTAATTTATTGATTTATTATTTATCAAGTACTTGATTTCGCTATGAAAATATTACGTACGATTACGCAGCTGTTAAATTTAATATTCCATACACTTCGATTATACGGATTCGTCTTGAAACTTTAAGTTGAAGGTAAATGTTGCGCGATCTAAAAAAACCTTATTGAAGGTTCAGTCGCTCCCTCTCCCACCTAATTTTTCCTAATGAAGCAGCCTAGTGAAAAATCGAAACGAACCCGCCGCAAACCTAGCTTCGGTCACATTTTTCTACATGTAAGGGTATAGCAGAAAATCCGCCTCTCATGGTGCGTAAGATCTTTAGGACTGGCAGCCCTGTGGTGTTTTGAATCTCATCCTCTTGCACACTCTCTTCTTATCTGAAAGCGCTTCATTATATACGTGACTTTCCACGCCTGCATCCCTCACACCTCCCGCTTTTACAATTATTTCCTGCACACCGTCTTCATTCACATATCCCCCCATTCTCGTTCAACACTTTCGGCACGAATCGTTCATCTTTTCTTGTTCTTAAGTATCTTTTAAGTTTTATTACCACTTCATTACCGTTTCCCCTTCTCGCGCCTCATCCTCCAAATCGATCTCTCTCACGCATTGTTTACGTCGTCTTACCATTTCGCCCACGTATTTTTATAACAGGTGGCCGCTTAAAGATTTTTTTGTTAAATTTACAAATTTGCTCGTATAGGAAATTTCTAAAGAAAGAGAACAGACCTTATATTCGGGAAATAAAGCGTTTTAAGGTAAGAAACAGTGTTCATGCAGATAAGAGTGGAAAAGTTTGCCGGTTCTAGAAACAATTGCGCCCGAGTACGAGGAGCAATCTCCGCTGTACTTATATATGTATCAAAACCTAGTGAACGCTGGGTTTGCAGACGTTTTCCGTTTCGTTGCACTATTAAATTAAGGTGTTCGCGCTTAAATAAATTACTACTACGAAGGCGTTAGAGTCCAAGGTGCAAAACATTCCGTTGCGCCAGATTTGTAGTAGCAAGTTACGTAAATTAATCAAAGTTAAGCATCTATTGTGTTGAGGTGCTCATAACGTACTAAAAAAACGGCTACAGGTAAAAAAGTTAAAGAGAATTAATTCAAGCTTCTGTTTGTCGTTAAAACCATAAGTTAAAATGATATGTAGGGACTGCGGAACATCCGTAATTTACTACTGTAAATAACGTAAAGTTCAACTTCAAAGTAAGCTTGAAGCACGGTTTGTGCCTGAATTAAATTACGTCAACCATCTTTCGAAAATTAATTTTTAACAACCCTATTCAACTGGTAGTAAAAGAGGTCCGACCCCACTGCCTAACCAAGGCGTTCCACCGTCCAATTTTTCAAATTACTGCTGCCTACCAAAGGAGAAATTCAACTGGCAAGTGCAGAAACTTCCAATGCATCGATAAAAGCAGTTTTTTTTTTAATTTTTACATCGTATAAAAAATAGGAATCGATCGTTTTTGGGGAGTTTGTATAACGAGTTTGCATTTGAAATCATTTTTTAATCCATGAAGAGGTCGCAGGGTTATCCCATGAACAAATTTGTGTATTTTTTATAAATAAGAAGACCGAAGCTATTTTTTTCCTTTTCTTGTTAATTGTAAAATTGAAATTTTAAGTTCAGTAATTCCAGTCTGTTGCGTGGGTTTAAAATTTTTTATTTAGCATACAGGAAGTAAATTCGTTTTTGAGTAAGAATTTGTAGGTACCAGATTAAAAATCTAATATTTAATTATTGAACCGTGATTATAATATAGATTAAAAAAATTTCTTGTAGTTGTTACGAAAGATTAGCTGTTATAGTACCAGTACCAGTGCCGTAGACATTAAATTTTATTTTAGGAGCGCAGGATGTTCAACCCGTGGAACTGTAACTAACCCGTTACATTTTTCAACTACGTCTTCTTCGTTCTCACTTTTATCACAACTATTTTATAGTCAAATAACGACATTCTTTTGTACGTGACTGTTTCGTCACTTTTTCGCCACATTTGCACTAAGGTTCATTTAATATTATATGCCATTTGTAGAATATGTAAATGTAACGGATTTTTCCAAGGTCGGAATTTTTAGAAATTCGAATGAATGGTAAGTTTTTTTTTAATAAAGGTCCTACGCATAGTTACCGATCCACGCTCTTAAAATATTTCCTCCCTAAGTTTTCAAATTATCAATAAAGCTATTTGATCTCCCTGCACTGCCGGGAGTATAATTGGCCCACTCTCGTCCTAGACATCATAGAAGGCGATCAATGGGCAGGAGAGACGAAGCGTCCAACTTCCTCTCTTATGACCCTATTTTCCGTTTCCGTTTAAATTG